AAAGTGACCTTAAATACAAAAAAAATTGGCAGTAAATTCACCAAATTGGAAAACCCAAGGAAAAAAATCAGAAAATCGAGTCCAAAGTTTCGCTTTGAGACGGAGCTAAACACATATGCAATCAAAGAAAGAGATAGAGGAAATCGCCTTGTAAGAAAATAAAAAATAAACATTGCACAAGAAAACCCAAAGAAAAAAACAAAAGAGAATAAATAAAATGGTGGTAAACCCTAGACTGTTTTGGACGATCTTGAAGAAGAAAGCCAAACAAAAGCAGAAAATGATAAAAACGGAACATACCTTCGTCAAACCGCATACGCTCGAATAAAGCCCATAGTAGAAGAAATCTTTGAATAGTGAAAATCCAAAAGCATAAAAAACCATGGTTTCCGAACCGCCATTGACCAGGACAATCGAACCGTTTGGCCCAAGAACCGTCCAGGCAACCAGTTCCATTTTACCCCAATCCCGGTCCTTAGCCAAAAACCGTTGAATCGGTCAACAACCCATTGACCTGAGCGATCAAACAATTGATCCATTGACCCGTTCAATGGTTTTTGGCCATTTTCTTTATTTTTTAATCATTCAATAAATAATTATTATTTACCTAAAAATTTATATTTAAGGCTGATTTTAATGATCATTTTTTGATCAATTTGTTCATTTCTTAAAAATTAGGCCAATTAAACATCAAAATAGTTAACGATACACAAGATAACACGTGGAAAAAGGGGAGACCACCCCTTTCCTTCTAAAAAGTTATATTTAAGGCTGATTTTAATAATCATTTTTTGAGATTTCTTAAAAATTGGCCGATTAAACACCAAAATAGTTAACGACACATAAGGTAACACGCAGCGAAAGGAGAAACCACCCCTTTCCTTTTAATATATGTATATAAGATTTATTTATTTTTAATTCTTATATTTCTATAATTATAACTTTTGTTTCTTATTCAGGGACAATATTTTTGTTTCTTTGAAATTGTTTTTGTTCCATTCAATTTTTTAAAAACCGACCCTGAACTGGAATCTTTCTGGCCACCGGTTTTTGGGTCAACGGATCAACTGTCCAGTTTGAATGGATGGCCTGCTCCAACAAAAAAAGTTAAAAAAGTTAGAAAATAGTCAACAGGTCAACGGTTTGACTACTTGGGTCAATGGTCTTTGACCAATTCAACTGTTTTTTGCCAAAGACCGGGTTTGGGGTAAAACGAAATCAATTGCCTAAACGGTTCCTAGGCCAAACAGTCTGACCATCTAGGTACGGCGGTTCAAAAACAAAAGGAATCTTATAGTATTCCTAATTGTGCCATGCCAAACTGAATCCACCCCAAGCATTCCTTTTGTGTTTTTATACTGTCCAATAAATTTTTATTATTTTTCACTAATATTTATTATTTTTTGGTAAATAGTATTAAATATTATTAACTTTTGTTATTTTAAATGAAATATAATGGACTTTTATTTTATTAATTATGTTTCAAATGCATAGTCTTTGCTAAATGTACTAATGTTCGTACTTGAAGTACGCATAAGGAGGCTTAAGACACTTTGAGTTGTGGATAATTGGTGAAAGTCCAACCCATGTTTTATTTTTGGGTTATGTATTTTTATATTAATTTGTATTTTCTAGATGGATTTTCAAATAAAAATTACTTTTATATTTAATACTCTTTTATTAATTTTAAATGGAACCTATAAATGGATTTTTAGATTTTTACAATATTTGTTAGTTATACATTTCATTAATATTTTTATGCATATTGGTTTTTGTTAGATAAATTTGCATTAATTTTTATTAATTTTAAATTAACTTTAAGTTAATAAAATTATTTTTATTAATTTATATGCATAAACCATATTTGATTAACATATACATAAATATATGCAGGCAAGGGCCGAGCCTAGGTTTGGCTTGAAGTATTAGGCCTAGTATCAAGCTTGAAATTTGAGAGCCTAATTTGAGCCCACGCCAAGCCTAAACACAAAATGTAGACCTGAGCATGAAACTTTTGGGTCGGGCTAGGTTGAAATGATGAACCCTAGAGGGAGAGGGGATGCTGAAAGGAATAGCAACTGAGATAAGGTTGAAATGGTCAACTCTAGAGGGGAGAGGGGATGCTGAAAGGAATTGCAAGTATGGGTGGGACAACCCTTCCCTATCCCCATTTTGAAGTCCTCCCTACCTGTTACCTCATCCCTAATTGTGGGGTAGCAACTCCCATCTAGGGATGACAACTTTACCTGATTTCTTCCCTTACCTGCCTTGACGGGGTGATTTTTTTTTTCTTGAAGGATGAATTTTGGGGTGGGTATGGGTTTCGGGATTCTACAATTCATAGGGTAAGGATAGGGTACCACATTAGGCTAAACCTAACTCTTCCTGACCCACATATTGTTTGAAAGCATGTGAATTTTCTACATTAGGTGTTGAATTTAATAATATTTTGAATTTTATGTGGAGGATAATTGATAGTTTATATGTTTTTTACATATCTTAATCAAATAGTTGGAAATTTTGTTGTTTGTGCATGTTATTTTACTTACTTATTGTTCATATATAACAAGAAATAATAGGAAATTAGATGTGAGTCCTAAACTCAACTTGCTCGAATGTGGGGTGGGTAAGGTTGGGAGGGTTTTGCATTTTTATGTGCGGGGAGGGATTGGATGATGGGAGGGTTAGGGAGTCATATATGGTCAAGAATTTACAAAATCCTCCTTGAACCCACCCTGTTGCCATCCCTATCCATCCTTGTTTCCATCCCCATTCAAGATTAGGGAAAACCCGCTCCATTTGGTGCAAGATAGGTTGGGGTGAGTACAAGGGATTATATGTAGATCTCATCCCTAATTTGGGGAAAAATTTCCCTATCCTCATTTAAGATCAAGGAAAACTAGACCCATTTGGGGCCTAGAAGGGTGGGTCAGGGCCCTGATTATGTATGTGTTTGGAATTGTGGGCGTTTATTCACTAAACATTTGTATTTTATTTGTTTGCAAAACCGAGAAAAACAATAATGAACCTGCTTATTGAGACTTAAGCGCTAGGCACTGTTTTAGCAAAACAGTGAATAAATGCCTACCCAATGGGGGAAGCATTAAAATGAACATTCCCCCAACGATACACACACACATACACACACACACACACACACACATATATATATATATATATATATATAGAGAGAGAGAGAGAGAGAGAGAGAGAGAGAGAGAGAGAGAGAGAGAGAGAGAGCCTATAATCAAGGTAGGCTTTGGAGAAGAGATATTTTAGGAGACAAATTTTAAGAATAATTTTAGGTAATTGGGTTGGAAATATTTAAAGTTGGTTTTACATGTGTCACATGCTACATCATTTTTTAGAGAATTAAAAACAATAAAAAAATTAGAAAAGGAAAAGAATTAGGGTAAATTACATAGAGGTACCTATACTTTGGGGGTAGTGACATTTACATGTGGCACATGCTACATTTTTTAGAGAATTAAAAATAATAAAAAATTATAAAAGGGAAAGAATTGGGGTAAATTACATATAAGTACCTATACTCATGGTTCAAAATATTGATACAAGTCGATACTATTTTTTATGTTTTTCGAAACTAGTTCAGAGGGGCCAATTTAAGGCCAGTTTACCCCCTAAACCACTTGCCAACCCGAAACACTCCTTGTAGGGGTATATTGGGAAGGCTCCGATACGATACATATTGGCCAATACAGGCCGATAGTAACAGAATTTTGATCCTTGCCTATACTTTGGGGGTAGCGACACTTAAGGCATGAACACATGAACTTTCAAACGTGATATTTCAGTATCTTGAACTTTTCAAAATATACACTCAAATCTAATCACTAGTATTCCTTCAATATCTTGCACTAAACATTTTACAATCTTCAAATTGCCCTTCCTTTCCCATTTTTGTTCTTAAATTTGAATAAACTACGCATTGAAGCAACACAACAATCTGTATATCAACCTTCATTTTCTTTATTAATGCTGAACAAAGCAAATGGTTGTGCGGTTCTACCACAAACAAAAGTTAAAAGAATCGAACAAATAGTGAATGCATCCTCCATTCCAAATTCAGAGTTTTTAGAAATTATTAAATTTTAGAGTTGCATTTCCTGTCTTAATACAATCATTTACATCCTCTTAATTTTTTTTTTCTAATCTGTTTCTGTTTTCTAAAGTTATAATTATAGCATTGATCTTAAATAAATTGGTAGATGGTGAACGTTTTGATTATTTTACCACCTACATTCACATTTATTAATGGTGTTGGACTTTAAATGTATATTTCAAAATAATTTGGGGTATTAAAGTATTACACTTAAAATTAAAAAAAAGTTAAATTTGATTATATGAATTTTTATTTATCATTATAAGGTGTTTTTTTTTTTTTTGGTAGAAATGATTATATGATGTTAAGTTAGAACTAGACCTGTTCATGGGCCAGTCTAGTCCAATTTGTTTTAAGTCAGGCTTGGACATAATTTTAGGCTGCGGGTTTGGGCTTATATCCGGCCCAACTTTTTTTTGGGCTGAATTTGGGCTTTATAGAAAAATCCTGATTCAAAGTTCAAGCCCAATTTGATAATATATATTAAATAATAAAAATATATTTATTTAATAAAAAATATATACAGTATTTTTGTTCATCTTCTTCTCCTTTTTTCAAGTAATAATGAGATCTTTTATTATTTTTGTGTTTTGAGGATTTTTAATATAAATAGAACACTTTTTTATTAAATAAAAAAATTTTATTTTCAAATTTCTGATTAAACTCGGGCTTTGGACTTTATGTGAGAGCCGGGCTCAGGTCAAAACCTAGGCCGATAGTCAGGCTGAGCTTGGGCTCGGACATGAATGTATTCTATTAATCATAAACAAAGCCCAGCCTGGCCCGGCCCATGAATAGGTGTAGTTACTACTCGCAGATGCTACTTATAAAAACCAAATAAATAAAATGAAACAAAATAAATTTGAGATTGGTAGAAAAAGCCTGTTTTCTCTATTTCTCTCTTTCTCCCAGTCGGGCTCTGGGAAATGGCTTTCATTTCATTGTTGTTTGTGAATGGATATAAAAATAATGAAATAAAAAGGGAGAAAGAAAGGGACCTTCGCCTCCTTTGCTTTTTTTCGACTCAACAGCTTGAGAAGCAAAGGTTGATCTGGTATTCTATTCGCCTTCTTCCCTGAATTTGTTTTTCTTTTTTGGTCTTTTGGGTAAAGAATTTATTTGAATTTCATTTTTTATTTTCTTGCTTTTTTTTTTTTAATTTATGGCTGTTCTTTTGTACTTTTTCATCAAATTCTGCTTTCATTTTTTTGATTCAAATCGAGAATTTTGACAGAAAAATCATCCATTTCAATTACTCCTGAAATTGTTTTGTTTTTGATCGAAAAATTTTAATTTTTGTTTTATGAATGTGATATTTCCATTATCATTCATTAAGTGAGATTTGTTATTATTAATTTCTATTATTTGTTATTTTTTTTGTTTGGAATTGTTTGCTGTTGTTTGTTATTCGATTCAAATTTTCAAAAGATTTGTATGCTTTTTTCTCGCATTGGTGGATCTTGTACAAAATTTAAATTTCTAATTTGCGTCATGGTTCCATCTTATTTTGAATTTGGTGGGATTCGATTTTTGTATTTATGCTGAGCATACCTTTGATAGGAGAGGAAAATATCTTTTCTAATCCTTCGGACATGTCCAGATTCCCTGCATTTTGATTGCTTAGACTCTGAACATAGATTTCTCTGCAACGTAATTGATTGCAGTTAGAATAACGAATCAAATTGCCTTTCACTGAAAGAAAATTGAAAAGTTTTTAAGAGTTCTCCTTAAGGTGGCTAGTGTGATAAAATTTATAGCCTTTTTACGTCATTCCGTGAATGGGATTGATAAGGTTGGATTTCAATGTTGCAAACCAAGAGAGATGATTTAGAAGGATTTGAGATTAATATTTGATGGGGAATACATGTGTTGGACCGAAGTTGGGTGCAGTGTGGCGAGGCCGTGGGACGGAGGAGCTCCCTTGTGTTAATTTTAATGGTGACAAGGAAGCAGAGCAAGAAAGTAGCCATGGGTCGGCTAAAGCTACCACAGCTACAGCTGCCCCTGCACCTGAAGAACCCAAAGCTCCTTTGCCCGTCCAGAGTACACCACCTGAACCAGTTAAGATTACTGGAGAGGAGCATGAGCCTCAGCCTGTGGAATCTGCAAATCCTGCTAAGCCAGATCCGAAAGTAGAGGAAACTAAACCAGAAGATCCCTCAAAGCCAAGGAAACCCCAACATATTAAAAGAGTCGCAAGTGCAGGACTTCAGGTAGATTCTGTGTTACAAAGGAAGACTGAGAATCTGAAGGAAAAATACAGTTTAGGGCGGAAGCTTGGACAAGGCCAATTTGGCACAACCTTTTATTGTCTCGAAAAAGGATCTGGGAAAGAATATGCATGCAAAACGATCGCAAAGAGGAAACTAACAACTGATGAGGATGTGGAGGATGTGAGAAGGGAAATTCAGATAATGCACCACATGGCGGGCCACCCCAATGTTATCTCAATCAAAGGTGCTTATGAGGATGCTGTTGCAGTTCATGTTGTTATGGAGTTGTGTGCTGGTGGAGAGCTGTTTGACAGGATTATTCAAAGGGGGCATTACACAGAAAAAAAGGCAGCTGAACTGGCAAGGGTTATAGTTGGTGTTGTTGAAGCATGCCATTCTTTAGGTGTTATGCATAGAGACTTGAAGCCTGAGAACTTTCTCTTTGTCAACCAGGGAGAGGAGGCATCACTCAAAACAATTGATTTTGGGTTATCTGTATTTTTTAAGCCAGGTAAATGTCTGAGAGTCTCCTTTTGTGTAAATCTTTAATTTGGAAGTATCACTTTTTGACTGCATGGTAGTAACTGTTCTAATCTGACTTAACCCACCACAAATTAGTAAGAAAAAAAGGAACAATGAATCATTGATTTTTGTAAGTAATTTCTATTTTCTTAGATTTTTATGGCTATCTTATATGATCGACTGCAAGAAGTGTTGCTTTTGAATAATGTGCACAGAACTACCAATAAAGTTCTTAAAAAGGGGTAATGGCTGTGATGAGGCCCAAAAAAAAAAGAAGAAAATGAATGTATTCTGTTTTGCATGTTTTTGTAGTAGGACCCCAAATTGTTGTTTTTGGGTAGCTTTGTTGATAGTTTGGAATCAGGGGTATTTTCATCATTTTACAATTCAGATTCTGGTTAGGGGCAGTTGGGTGCACATTTGTTGGGTTTTGGTCTCTTGGGTCTTTTTTGTAACAAAAGTTATCTTTTGGGGGTTCATTTGAAGTTAATTTTGTTCTTAAGGAGTTGCTTGTGAGAGGGAAACATTCTAGGGGCTTATGTGTAAATATTTTAATTGACTTTTCCAGCAAGCCAATGGGTCTTATAAAAGAGAAGGGGCTGTTTCTGTAGTGGTCATTTTGGTTCTATCTCTCTTGTTCGAGTTGTAGCTTAGCCCCAGCTAGGGTTTTCAAATATTGGGAGTTTGGGTTTTGAAGAGTCGACCCATTTTGGCACCTTCCAATCCTTCTATCACTTTGTTTCCATGCGGGAGGCCAGCTTGCTTCCATTGTTATTGTAGCGGAACTGTTCTAGGAGGAGTTGTAGTTCAGGTTCAGGTCCGAAGTCCTTAAAAATTGAACTTGTTTTGTTGTTTTTAGCTTAGTATTTCTTGTGTTTATTGCTGTATAGTTGAAGTGCTGCATGTAATTTGTTTTCTGTCCACATCAAATGGTATCAAAACAAATTCTTTCCTTGGGTTTGCTTCAAAGTTCATCTCCTTGTTGTTTCTTGCTATATTGTTGTGGATGCAAGGGGTGGACGTTGTAGGGGTGGTAGAAGACCACAACAGGTTACTGTAGAGGTTTTTCAAGAGGCTATAAGAGGACTATAAGAACAAATTGAGCATCTTGCTCAACTTGTAGCTCAAAATGCTGCTAGGGATGGTGACGTAGCAAGTGATTTGGGGCTAGGAAGAAGAAAACAAGCTCCTAGAGTTGATGAACAACCCACTAACATTATTAGTGAAGAATCAAGTGAAGACCAGTGATTTAAAAGGCGCACCTAAACGCATAAGTGAGGCACATTTTAGGGTAGGTGCCTTGCCCAGGTCCTAGGCGTAGCACTTTCAAAAGGCACGCACTTAGTGTGCCTAGGTGTGTGCCTGATGCACCTTGCACCTTGGCCCAGGTGTGCACCTTTTGAAAATTGTACGGTTTTTTCCTTTTTTTTGAACCTAGCGGCTGGGCCGGGGGCTCCTCCCTTGGACCCCCGACCATGCCCCTCAAGGCAAGCCCAAACAAGTCCATGTTAGGGTCTTAAATTCTTAATTCTCACACAAAAATTATGATTTTATAATTTTATTTGCCTTTTAAGAAGATATTTTATTAAGATGAATGAATGAACAACATTAGCAAATAAGGGGTTCTTAGAGCTTCCCTGAGTGAGTGAATTAAGACCCTAACATGGACTTATTTGGTCTTGTCTCAAGGGGTGTGGCACAAAGGCGACTCGTAGAATTAGGATTGTAATATGTTTTACATCACATTAGCTACTTGAAATAATGCAATTAAAGAAAAAAAGAGATTGTGGGCTTTACATGCTTGAAAATGTTTTATATGTTTGATTTTATTTTTAAATTTTCATTTGAATATGCTTTACATGTTATGTACATGTATATTTTAATTTTAGATAATAGGTTTCTTAAAACCATTAACTTTAAAAATTAAGTTTATATTTCTTATTAATATTATGTTTAATATTTTTTGCATTTTTGTTGGCATTTTTTGAATTTTCTGACATTTTGTTTTTGTATTTTTGCACCTTGCTTTAAAAAGGCGCATGCCTCGCTTGCGCCTCTCGCCTCGGGCGCAAATTGGTCATTGCGCCTTGCTCTTTTAAAACACTAGTGAAGACATTGAGCAACCTGAAGGTGATCAACGTTAAAGGAATAACAACCAATGGTGGGAAGACCGAATAGTGCAAGATTTACAATCCAATCAAGGTCATGGTGGTCAACTTCATATTAACGAGTTTAATGGTGAGTTAAAACTTGCAGAGTTTCTAGACTGGTTGGACAACATTGAAAATTATTTTGGTTGGAAAGAAATGAATGAAGAAAGAAAAATGAAGCTTGCAACAACAAAGTTGCATGGGACAACCTTGGATTGGTGGAAAAGTTATCAAAGGGACAGAGAAAGGAAGGGGAAAAGAAAGGTTAATTCTTGGGGAAGAATGAAAGAGAAGCTAAAATCCCAATTCTTGCCACCAGATTATGAGCAATCTCTTTATCAAAAGGTTTAGAATCTAAGGCAACGGGAAAAGAATGTAAAGGAGTACACAAAAGAGTTTAATAGATTACCTTTGGAAGAACAATTTACTTCCCTTTTTTTCACTTTCCTGGTATAAAGGCAAGGTTGTATCTAGTTTTTTGGTTCTTTCTCAGTCCAAATTTGGGTTTGATTGGGATCTGGGGCTTAGGAGAGGCCTAAGGGATTCAAAAGCTGAAAGTGTACCGAATTTGATTCGAATCTTAAATGGGGTGGTGTTGGATCCCTCTAAAAGGGATAAGAGACTATGGACTCTAGCTCCTTCCGGGTCTTTCTCTTGTGCTTCCTTCTTCAAGTCCTTGCATTCTACTAGTAACCCTGCACAAAATTTCCCAGTTAAGGAAGTTTGGGGTGAGCCAATTCCTCCAAGGATTGGAGCTTTCTATTGGGAAGCTTTCTTGGGAAGATGTAACACTTGTGACTTACTCCAAAGGAAAAGGCGTTATTGGTGCTTGTCTCTGAGTTGGTGCATTCTCTGTAAGGTTAATGGTGAAAGCTCCTACCACTTATTAATTTCTTGCCCTTTTGCTTTTGTTATTTGGGAATGGTTTCTTTTCCTTTTTGGTTGCACGTGGACCCCCTGTCAAAATCCAAAGTTTTTTTAGTTCCTTGTTCTTTAGATGGCCTAAAAGAAGGGGAAGGATTATGTAGAGATGTGTGAGGGCTACTACTTGCTGGACTTTATGGGAGGAAGGGAATTCCAGAATTTTTTCTGAAAAGGAAAGAAGTAAAGTAGGTATTATTGAGGCCATAACAATTAGGTGTTGCATTGTTTAAAATCTGTGCAACTGTTTGATGATGTGTTTACAGATATGTTGCTGAATAGCTGGGTGGAAGTGGCTGCTTGGGCTTGGTCTACTGTTTCTCTTGTGTGGTCATCACCTGGCAATGGTTTTATAAAGCTAAATTTTGATGGGAATAGTGAAGGTAACCCAAGCCCTTCAGGTGTAGAAGGTGTCTTCTGAGATGAGGAGGGAAAGGTGATGGCAATGTATTCAGGCTCCACTGGGGTTGGGGACTCTCTTAAAGCTGAGATCTATGTTGTATCAGAGGGTATTGGAAAGAGAAAGGAACTAAATGAATCCACTGATAAAAAAAAAGAGTAAGGAACTAAATGTACAAAAATTAATTATCGAAGGGGACTCAAAGTTGGTGTTGAGTTGGCTATAGAGGGGAAGTGATCTTTGGAAGTTTGCTAATGAAAGAAAGGAAATCAAATGGCTAACTAGGGGGATGGACATCCAATTTTAGTGGGTGAAAAGAACAGCAAATGCCTTTGTAGATGCTTCGGCAAAGCAAGGTGTGGGAAGGGATCAATTGTACTAGGCGGTATTGTGAGCTTTTTGTTGCTTTCTTGGGGAGTGTTAAGGCTTTTTAACTCTCTCTGATTGCTGTACTGTTGTTTATATATTAATCTAATTAAATTCTGTTATTGATAAAAAAATAGATTAACTCTTCATAGTAATATGACAGAAACTGAACAGCAGAAAGTTAGTAGATTATCAACGGTTTGAAGTTGTCAATACAAGACCAAGTCAGCCTACATTGCCCGTATAAGGTACAGGGTGCATATCAACTAGCTCTAAAGGTTGAAACTCAATTGAGTTGGAGCTTAGGGTGGAAACTAAGTGATGTCCAAGGTACATCTTCATCAATAGGTCGAAGTGTTGGGGCTGGTAAGGGTCGTGTGATCAACCAAACATGACCTACAGTCCAAAGGACCCCAAATGCAACAAAGAGCAATCAAGGGCAGCCTACTGTTGGATATTTTAGGTGTATGGAGTTGGGACATCGTTCCAATGAATGTCCTAAGAGAAAGATTGAAGGGCAAACACATTTGGTTGATGAATTTATTGATGAACAACAAGATGATATAGGCCATGTTGAGGATGGGCAAGTGGCTGAAACTACTGAAGCTAATGCTTTAGAGGAAGAAAACTTGGATGGGGACATTGAGGGTGAAGCTCTAGTGATACGGCACTCCATGGTTGCACCTCAAGAACCACTACCAGGGGATTGGTTGAGAAAGAATATCTTTAGAACACGTTGTACAACTAGTGGGAAGTTGTGTAACTTGATTATTGACAGTTGGAGTAGTGAGAATCTTGTTTCTCAATAGATGACGGATAAATTATAGCTCAAGACTGTTCAGCACCCTTGACTATATTGTATTTTGTGGTTCAACAAAGTAAATGAGGTAGGAGTTTCTTCTAAATGCTTAGTTAATTTTTCTATTGGTAATACATTTGAAGAATCAATATGGTGTGATGTCCCAATGGATGCATGCCATATTCTAATGGGTCTCCCATGGAAATATGACCGTGAGACCATTCATTATGGGGACAAGAACACATGTAGCTTTGTGAAAGACAATAAGAAGATAACTTTTAAACCAGTGCAACTTGATTCATTTCCAAAGAAGGAAACCAAGCCAACCACTACTCTCTTCACCTCAAACAAAT